GTTAATGTTTTCAAAATCATCCATTTCGGTCCAAAATCCACTGTGCCATGTCAATTCCAAGTCCTTACACGCAATTTATCAGCAGACAATAGATCAAATAAGTTATTGAGACGGCTTCTGTGTCATCCGCATATTTTAAAGGTCACTTTGCCACTGATGAGAAGAGAACTGCAGGATTCACTCTCGCAGAGAGAAGCTAATTGCTCAACATTTCATGTAAGTATACTCAGACTCTTCCAACCTGTTCATTACCATTTTTACTCTGACTGTAATGGAATTATTTAACATTTAAAACCATCAGACACACTCGATCACACAGCTCTGCAGACATCACTGCATTTAAAACGCCACTTCTTCAAGTGCAGTAGACCAAATAGCAGTGTTCATTTCCCATTTTACATCAAGTCAGAAAAACACCGTGACTATCACAGCATTTTTTGCATTTCCTAAGTCCATTGCAAATACTTAGATGTCTATCATATAATATACCCTTTGTGATACTGACTTCCCCCCCTTTTTCTGCCCACCGCTCATTGCTTCAGTGTCAGTTCATATCAATGTATTACCTCCTTTTCTCTCTTGCCTTTGTTTGCTCGTTTCTTTAAGCCAAACCCTGGCATCTGCGACTCCCCTGTTTGACAACAGCGAGCTATTCAATACTTCATTTACACCACACGAGGGTGTTTCAAGCTGTGTAGGATGCCAGAGTTAATTTGGAAGTCCTCCTGCTTGGAAAGGAACCAAGGGGCAAACAGATACATATTCTTTTTTCCCACTGATTAAAAATCTTACTCAGGCAACCAGGTACAGGAGACTGAAAGGAAAGAGATGAAACATTGTAGTCTAGAAAAGAGGTGGAAGAGGAGTTTTAAAGACATAATCCGATATTCCTTGATATCGAATAATCTTTGCTGAGGACTTCCCTGAGTTTTGCCTTGTCCTTAAAGACTCATTTTAAATATAATATGATTTCATATTATTTCCATTAAAATCTCCTTAGATAGGATTAAGTCATCATTATCCCCCTACAGAGCTTTTTAGAAGCTTTCCATTGGCTTATTGCTCAAAGTTAATTGCAGAGTCAGGAAGAATTACCTACTAACATGAACAATAGATAAAACAAAATTTCTCCTTCATGTACTGCTTCTTCTGGAGTTTAAGGGTACACAGATCTTTCTAATGTTTAAGGGTACACAGATCTTTCTAATGTTTGCCTGTTCTGATAAGTGATGGCTTTAAATCCAGCAAAGACGATGTAAGGTAACTAATACCCTGTTCTGGTTAGCAGGTATAACTTCTGTACACAGCTTTTTAAAACGAACACATACATGAAAACGAAGCTGGAGCACCTCACAAGGCTTTTGACACAGCTGCAACGAGGAAAACATCTCCCTGAAAGAGAAAACTCAGCGGGCCCATATTAAGACAGGCTGTTGCCCCAGGAAATCCCAGGTGGCAAAGCCTATTATCAGCAACTCTAGACTAATGAGTCCAGCCCTGGGAGGGCCAGGCAGCCAGTGCTCTCCCACGGCCCGCTCCCGGGCACTGCCACGCCACCGCCTGCATCGCAATGACTTGAGCACGCAGTGCAAACTACAGGGGTGCTTCTTAAACAAACAAGCCAAACTTAGTTAATTTACAGGACCAAAAGGCGCCTTGTAAGAAAAGCCACCGCAATGCTGTTTAAAAAAGAGCTGTGATTCAGAGTGAGGCAAAAGGTAATTCAGGGTTATTAGGGCTCCGTGGGACGGCTGTCAGGCACGCCAGCACCAGGGCATCCCCTAAGCTCACAGCTGTCCCCGCTGCTGTCACAGGCTGAGGATCCCCACCTGCCCCACGGGCTCGGGGCTGGCAGCCCTTCCCCTGCCCCCGATTAGCGGGGCTCAGCGCCACTGGGGTGCAATGGGCAGGAATACAGACTGCGGAGCACTGGGAAAAGTCACTCGCTCCACTGAAGCCCCCAGGCCCTACCACTGACCTCACAAGGCACATTAGTAACCGAAAACAAATACTGAAAACAAATTTCTTGCTTTTATCCTTCCCCTGCCCCTGCAACATTTGCTGTCTCCTCAGAAGCAGTCGAAAACCACTTGTACATAAAACCACCTTTCTGCTTAGCTCTCCAGTGTGTTGCTTGTACAGCTGCGTAATGCAAATATTAAAGACCATATGCAGCAGACCCGGCTAATTTCACAGTATTACATCTGTGTGACACATGACCTCAGATTCTGACTCGGGTCTGCTTTACAGGTTTCATTGTGTCATGGATTTCCATTTAGTGACGTGATGCCCAGGCCTCTTTCAAAAAAAAAATCTTTTCTGTACCCATACAGTGAGCTTTGAACACCTTACTCTTATAGGGAAGCTTTTAGCTGACACTCCCATAGCCATCTTCAAGTGTCCTGGAGAAGAGAAGGCTTGGGGAAGACCTCATAGCGGCCTTCCAGTACCTAAAGGGGGCCAACAGGACAGCTGGAGAGAGACTTTTTACTAGGGCTTGCAGTGATAGGATGAGGGGGAATGGCTTAGTGGAAGAGGGTAGATTTAGATTAGATATCAAGAAGAAATTTTTCATTGTGAGGGTGGTGAGGCACTGGAACAGGTTGCCCAGAGAAGTTGTGGCAGCCCCATCCCTGGAGGTGTTCAAGGCCAGGCCGGATGGGGCTTTGAGCAACCTGGTCTAGTGGGAGGTGTCCCTGTCTATGGCAGGGGGGTTGGACCTCGATGGTCTTCCAGGTCCCTTCCAACCTAAACCATTCTACGATCCTATCTAGTAATTGAAGTTTTAACCCGGGTCAAGTTCTTCCAGAACCCAAGTCCAAGCGGAACGATTTAAGCCCACGTGCTGGGGCGGTCGGTGCCAAAAATAATGGCTTGAGAGGGTTTTGGAAAGATGGGGGCTGGCCACCCCCCTCCGCATCTCCCTCCCGCCCCCCCTCCCCG